GTTCCAATGCCTGAGCACCCTCTGGGGCAGGAATTGTTCCTCAGCTCCATCTAAACCTGCCCTGGTGCAGCTTGAGGCTGTCTCCTCTTGTCCCATCCCTTGTTCCCTGGGAGCAGAGCCCAGCCCCTCCTGGCTCCATCCTCCTGTCAGGCACTTGTAGGGAGCCATCAGGTCCCTCCTGAACCTTCTCTTCTCCACACTGAACCCCCCAGGTCCCTCAGCCGTTCCCATCCCACTTGGGCTCCAGGCCCTGCACCAGCTCCATTCCCTTCTCTGGCCCCGCTCCAGCACCTCAATGTCTCTCTTGCAGTGAGGGGCCCAGAGCTGAACACAGGATTCGAGGTGCGGCCTCACCAGTGCCCAGTGCAGGGGCACAATCCCTGCCCTGGTCCTGCTGCCGCACTGGTGCTGATCCAGGCCAGGATGCTGGTGGGTTCTTGGCTACTTGTGCACACGTTGGTTCATGTTCTGCTTCTGTTGGCCAACACCCCCAGGTCCTTTTCTGCCAAGCAACTTTCCAGCTGCTCTTCCCTAAGCTTGGAGCATTGCAGGGATTTGTTGTGACCCAAGTGCAGAACCCAGCACTGAGACATGTTGAACCTCATCCCACTGGCCACAGCCCATTGCTGCAGCCTGTTCAGATCCCTCTCTGGAGCTTTCCTACCTTCCAGCAGATCAATGCTCCCAACTGGATGTCACACTGAGGGTGCACTTGATCCCCTCATCCAGATCATTGATACAGACCTTAAACAGAACTGACCCCAACACTGAGCCCTGGGGAGCACCACTTGTATGTATGGACCACGTATATATTGAATGGATTTAACTCCATTCACCAGCACTCTTTGGGCTCTGCCATCCAGCCAGTTCCTTCCTCAGTGAACAGTACCCCCTCCCAAGCCATGAATAGCCAGTTTCTCCAGGAGAATGCAGGAGTCTGAATATATCTGTGAACCTGGAGGTTTTCCATAGAGCCACATTCCTTTAAGGATGGGGCTGAAATAAGACGTTGGGGCCTGTTGTGCCCCAGTGGCTTTGCCAACAAGCATCTGGGCCGCAAAGATGCGGCATCCTTCCTTGCCTGCCTTGCTCTCTTCTGTCTTTGGAGCTAAAAGTGAATCCAAAAGAGCTGTGTAGCCCTGGGTGACTGCTTAATCGTCCTAATGTGGCCTTTCTGTTGAAGGAGAGAAGCTGTTTGAGTGTGTTGACACAAGCTTAACCAAGTCATTGAGCAAGCAAGTGCGCAGGAGAGGGGCGGGAAGGGAGAGGATGAGTTGAACTCACTGCATTGACTGAGCACATAAATCACTGCCCTGCAGAAGCTGCCTGTACCCACGGGCTGTGAGAAGGCTGCTTACAGTAGCAGCGATGTTTGCCCCTCTGCTATCAGCAGCGTGCTTATTAATGGCTTTATCTGTGCACTTAAGTGGTGATAGCACCCAGGCTGGGCCAAGCGGATCTGTAAACAGGACCCTGGGAGGAAGGAGGTTCATGCCCAGCCGCTGTGTTTGCCCAAAGGCCACCACGAGCCCCGGGACCAGCTCACACCCTTCCTTCTCCTCCGATAACCACGTGGTGACGTCTCTCCGCGGCAGCACCCTGACCGTGAGCAGCAGGACGTGAGCCGTGCTGCAGCACCCCAGCAGCGGATGGGCTCCAATGGGGATGCGCCGGCTCTGCTCATGAAGCATGGACCCGGTGGTCCTCAAAGCAGGTCCCTTCAGCCTCCTGCCACGGTCGAGCTGCTCCTTGTTGGTAAGAACCATTACCTTGCTCCACCAGCACTTCCTGCCCTGGCTCCCAGCGCTCCAGAGAGCCAGTGCTGGTGCTGCAAACCCTCATCTCCAGCCTTGTGACCTCCGCCATGCATCCACTTCCCACCTGCCGCACGGACAGATAATGATTAACTCAGATTCCTGGCCTGTCCCGGGCACGCCTCGCACCCAATCACCCAGATAAAACGTTTATTTATCTTTTTGCACCTAATAAAACAAAACTCGCCCTCAAATAACAGATGAGTCAGCAGCAGAGGAGGGGATGGGAAACCCTGGTCGCGGTGGGACGGTGACTCAGTCCTGACCTTGGCTGTGGCCTCCCCGGCTCTGTCCTGAGCAGTGATTTCTCCTCTGCTCTTTGTCTCTTTCCTTTCTGTGGTTCCTACTGGTGGGGTTCAGTGCTTGCCCCAAACCCCTGCAGCACAGCAAGTGCTCAGATCCCTGGGAGGCCAAGGAGGTTTTGATACCAAAGCATATGAGAGTGAAAGCCCCAGGCAACATGGGAGAGCCCCAGGGCAGCCCTTTGCTTTCCTGTAGCTCTCTATTTGAAGGTCTACCGTTTAAACGGTCACCCCAAGGCACAGCATTGTCCCCATTCCCCATCCCTTCGTGTGGGTTTGATCTCTGCTCCATCGCTGATGCAATGGCAGGAGCAGTCAGCAGGATGCTGCTGGTGGCCTCAGGGCCCAACCGCATTCTTTGCTCTGACACAGGCTTTCTGTTCATGCAGCTCCCGTGCCTCAGTTTCCCTCATTCCAGGCATGGAAGATGGATCCAACAGCAGTGCTTTTCCGCAGGGGACTGTCATGAAGACGTGTGTACAAAGGACAAAGTGGACCCCTTCATGTTACTCAGGTACTCTGTGCTTAGGGGGTTCTCCTGATCCATAAAACTCTGTGAGGGAGAGATGTCCCCCTCTTTAACTGGGCTGTGTCCTGGATCCGTAGTGAAGGGGGTAGTGATGGAGCAGCCAGCATCGGTGCCAGCATCCCGGCAATGCAGAGTCCCAAGGGAGGGCATGAACCCATGCAACCAGGATGGAGCAGAGCCTGCTCCAGGGATGCACCCAAACCTGGGTGCCGAGCCTGGGACACTGCCTGCACTGAGGAGTTAGCTGCCCAGGGGTGTTCGGTTGATTCTCCATCAGCCCTTTGCACATTAACTGACCATGAGCTGATAGATCCTAATAGACAACTCTGGAGCACACAGCAGGGTCCATGCTTGCAGTGCTTTCTAACAGCTTGGGATTTTGCCTTCTGGACTTGTGGGTGCTCACTTTCCCTCTGTCCCCTCTCTTGGGTATATAGGCACGGTTCACTGATGGCTGCTTCCCTGTCTGCTGCCTTCCCAAGATGCATGGATGTGGCTGAAGGGCACAGGAATGCAGCCCTTTTTTGGAAACCCATCATCCCTGCACTTGCAGCCTGGAGATGCCTCAGGTCAGCAAGGGCTCCCCATTGGTTTACCCCAGTACCATTGCTTGTGGCTGTGCATTGTGTTTGCTACAGACCCACCACCCTGGAGTGGTTGATTTGGGATTCCTGCCTGTGTCAGCACTGCTTGGGCTCTTGTGGGGTTCTCCTTACACACATCCTGGGTTATTTAACCCCAGATGCACTCCTATAGTTACTGCCCAGAGAGCCTGGAACCAAGCACCAGCACACAGGGGAAAGCCCAGGATGGAGCAGGTGATTACACGTGCTCTCTGCCCCTGTCAGAGCCCAGCAGCTTGGGCTGAAACAATGTGCAGGGGTGTACGTAAGGCTGACGTCTGTGTGCCACTTACGTCTCTCTCCTGACTCAATCCGGGGCTCCTGCAGCTGAAATTAATCAGGCTTTTGTCTTAGGAAAGGTGAAGTTTCCTTTATCTTCACCAGATCAATGGTTAAAAATAGAGCGAGGCCTTTGCAGGGTCGGTGTGGCTGGGAGCGGGGTCAGACCAGCGCAGGCACCGGTCCCTGCTGGTTTGGTGATGGGTGTGGAGGGGAAAGGTGCTTTGGAGCGCGTGAACCGGCAGTCTGGCATGCCGGGTGGGAAACTGCATCGCTCCACGTCAAGTGCCGTGGTTTCAATGGGATTATTCCCTTGGTGGATGCACACACGTCCATAGGCAAAGGCTTGATGATTTCTGCCACCTCTGCAGTGTTCTTTATTGGGATGATAACCCCTGATAGGACAATAAACCCTTTATTGGAACAGCAAACCCCCATGTCTCAGGGTACACAGAAAGCTCATCCGTTCCGCTTTGACACCCAACAGAATGGGCTCCACTTGGACTCTGGGGCAATTTCCACCTCCCAAAGCCCAAGAGTCCTGCTCTGGAAGCCCCCTCCGTCATAGAGTGGTTCATGGAGAGCTGCAGGCACCCAGACACCTGTGTTGGGGCCCCATTGCTCCATGTCCTGGGGCTGTGCTCACAGCCTCAGAGCACGCACAGGGCTGAGGATGCAGCACAAGCATCCCTTCAGAGACCAAATTTGCCATGGCATTGGGTTGAGTTCTGAGTCGCAGGGTGTAGCAGGTCCCCTCAGGAGGTCAGAGTTGCAGTGAAAATCAATAAATAACATACAAAAATGTTCAGGTATTTTAAAAAATCATTATCTATTTAAAAAAACAGAAACCCAATCTCTTGAACATTCCCCACTCTACATTGCCCATACAAGCTTTATGCTTCTTGAGCCCTGATTCAGGAAAACTGGGATAAAAAGTGTGCTTAGAGCAATCCTCTATCAGGGCCAGCCCAGGACCACATGCACAGCTCTCCTGTAGAACAACCTGCCCCTTGGGAAGAGTGATGCCTCCTTGGAGAGGAAGGAAAACAGCAGAGGCTGGTACAGGGAAGGTCAATATAAATGGGTAATGCAGAGAGGAAGGAATAAAAGGATTCCCAAAGCCTTTGGTGGTCACTGGTTTGGTTTTCACATCTCTGCAGGGCAGTGATTTCTGACTGGCCATACCAGAAGCTGAAGTAGTTTCATTTCTTTGCCTTCCACGCCTGTGTTAGCCCCTCAGGCAGGCACTGAGTGTCCAAGAGGGCCAAGCACCCACTGGAGGGTCCATCAATGGCATGGAGTGAACAGGCTTTTAAGCAGGAAGGTGAGTCTCTGCAGGAACCAAGGGTAATCACCATGACCCTGTTGTGGACACCTTCCTTGCTTTATCTTTGGAGCTTTAAGAACATCACACACACACACACACACACACGCATGCACATCCACGCACAAGTAGCAAAAATAGAATCTGGACTATGTCTGGATGATCTGCACTGGCGATTCATAAATGCCCCAACACTGCAAAGGGACACGATTCAGGCAGTGCTGGGGGACCCCTGGGGACATCAGGGCAGTCTCCCAGCCCCAGGGTAAGGAATAAGGCAGATTGGTTGAGGAGGATCGCATCTTCCTTGCGAGAGAGTTCTTTAGGACATGATGTAGACCTCCAGCAAACTGGCCACCGCATGCATTCGGTAGAAGATCCCAAATGGCAGGCAAATATCCACGATGGCCGGCCACATGGAGTCACCATAGAAGTTCAGTTCTGTGTCGTTGTCAAACTGGGGCCGGGCACCGAAGGCTGGCATGATCCAGAGCTGTTGGAGGAAACAGAATGGCACTGCAGTGAGGAAGGGGAGCGGTGCGGCAAGCACCCGCAATCACAGCTGCTGAGAGAGACCTGAGCATGGTAGGAGCCTGTGCTTCCACTAAGACTTTAGTTCTGAAGAAGGCTTTTATTTAGTGTATAAAACACTATATAATATATATAATGTGTGTATATATATATATATATTTTAAACAGGGGAAGTTTACATTGGATATAAGGAGGAAGTTCATTACTGTGAGGGTGCTGAGGCACTGGAATGGGTTGCCCAGGGAGGTTGTGGATGCTCCATCCTTGGCAGTGTTCGGGGCCGGGTTGGACAGAGCCTTGGGTGCCCTGGTTTAGTGTGAGGTGTCCCTGCCCATGGCAGGGGTTGGAACTGGATGATCTCAAGCTCCTTTCCAACCCAAACTATTCTGTGATTCTATGGTGATGTATGATCTAAGCTGGCTTTCGATTCAGAGACCGGCTCGAACCAAGCGCTGAAGCACTCACCAGGGGGAGAGCTTGAGCCCGTTGTGTGTGAGCATGAGTCTGGCCTCACCGAATTCATTGGATGGAGCAAGGGGATGCAAGGCTGAGCTGGCAGCACCTTAGGCTCCGTTGTGTGTGCCTTGCTCAGCAGCCCAGCCGGTGTGTGTATGTAGCTGCATGAGGGTTGTCAGCCCATCCTCTGTGAGCATAAGCATCAGATCAGTGTGGGGACATGATGTGACTGACTAGCCGAGGGTCTCTAGAGGCACAGCATGTGCTTGGCTTCTCTGGAGGTGCAGCTGTAACCCTACATTTCTTTTGTAGGGAACTGTGGTCCCCCGGATGTGGAAAACCCCAGCTGAAGTTGTCCGATTGCTCCTCACAGCAGCTGGGATCAGCAGCTGGGCTCCTAAGCCATGGATGTTGAGATGTGCTGCCATTTCTCAAGAAAACCCAGACTTCACCCCAGGTATTTGTCCCTTCCTCTCCTTTCTTTGGGGATCTAAGGGAAGGGTTTAATGTATTTTATTGCTTTTAATAAACTATTCTGCATATCTGCTAATACCCACTAAGAAATACTAAACCTGATTCTGCTCTTGTACCCACTGATTTTATTGTCTGGTCATGCTGGTGTAGCCTAAAATGTCTTAGCTCCAAGGCAGTCGCTCTTGCTTTTAAGTGACAAGGGAATATCAGCTGTCTGCACATACAAATCTAAGTGTGCTCTCTGTGCAGGGAAGGCACAGAAAGGACCTGATTTGCAAGGGCTGCATCCTTTCCTGCCCAGACACTTCTCTCTTGTGCTTGCTTCCCTCTCCCCCACCCCGACAAACTCTTCTCCCTGCAGGTACTCACGATGATATTGCTCAGCAGGAGGAACATGGAGATCTCCTTTAAGAACTTCCTCCTCCAGTTCATCTTCTTGGGAGCAGTGAGGGACCTCACGAGGTCGGAAGGATGGATGGCTTCTGAGCCAGAGACAGTGCTAGGGGCCAGGGTGCTGCCGCTGTCTGGCATCCGGAGGGACACGGCACTGATGTTGACAAAGGTGAGTCCATAGAGATCCTTCTGGTGGGAATCATGCTTGTGGTCCTCCTTGGGGGGCTGCCGATGGAGGCCTTCGATAATGAAGATGTTCTGGAAGGTGTGCTGAGCAATCATGAGGAGGGCATAGGTGAGGTTGAGCGCGCTGATAGCGTCCCTTGGTGTGCTGGCTACAATGGCCACGATGGAATAGTAAGAAATAGCGTACTGCCCCAAGGCTGCACCCATGAGCAGGGCCACGTCCAGGGTCCTGGTTGGGTTCTTGTGCCGATCCATGTCTCTCTTGTCAAACCGGTAGATGACAGAGCCGCCAATGCAGACAAGAGACATCAGCCCCAGACAAACAATGTTGAAGATGTAGTACATGGAGAGGGCTTGGATCTTCTTGCTGGATTCAGTGCTGGAATTTACCTGCACCTCGTAAAGAATGAGGACTCCCAAACCACTCACCAGAGTGATGAGGCCCAACACAATGCCTACAAAGAAGGTCCTTCGGAAGAGCCTGAACTTCAGGCGGTGAATGTGGTGGGAGTGGTGGTCTATGAAGCGCCCAACGTTCTTCCACATGACATAGACCATGGCAGAGGCAAAGAGGCTGTACTCGATGTTGAAGGGGTACAGCCAGAAGTAGCCGTTCTTGAAGACCTGGCAGATTTGGCTGTTGCAATTGCATTCTTCAGGTGAGCTACTTCTCATTCCCGCTGGAACAAGACAGAAACACATGGATGCAGTGGTATGAAAACAAGAACCAGCACTTGTTAGCAGCCCTGAAGAACTGGATGCTCAGGGTCAGTGAAAAACAAGGCCAAGGACAGAAGAAACAGAAGAATATGTGATCACTTTGAAAACAAGGACATTGCAATCTCAGCTTTCTGGTGCTCACGATCTTTCTGGTTAGGTGCAGGTTAAATATCTCTCTTTTCCTTCCCTTCATTCCCATCCTATTTGTACAGAACCTTCCACCTTTGTGACTCCACTGTGATACAGATTAAGACATGAACATTAGGACCTGTCTCTTAACATACCAGCTTAATTAAATGAGCCTTCAGCTCTTGACAGGCCTCCTGAATAGGGGTAAAACCAGACTTGCAGAACAATTTCTACCTCGTGGGCTCCTTCCCTGGATGAGATGGCTCTACAAATGGGTAAATTACCTTTCAAAAGCCACCTGAAGATTTCATCTGTCACATTCTTCTTCAGCTTCGAATGTGCTTTGTGAACAGACTCATCTGTCACTGCTGACATCCACACTGCTAAGTTTGTAGTCAGTGTTAGCATCAAGCCGCACCTGCAGAAGAAGAAGGCTCATGAAATCAAAGCATTTGCTCTAGGCCATGTAGTTCTCTGCCTATTTTTGGTCCATGCTCATGAGAATTAGAAAGACCTGATTCCTCTTGCTGCCTGTGGAAGAGCTTCTCAATAGTGAATAGATAAACAGGTCTGGATTGGGCTCCAGTAGATCCAGTCTTGCAAAACTGGATCTTGTTTTAGGCTGAGGCTTGCCCACTGCATCATTATCTTCCCCATGGAAGCAAAAGTCAGCTGTGAATCATTTAATGCTAATTCTTTAGTTAATACCAGTCTGCTTTAAGTAATGTTTGGACTCTTGAATTGGATCCCAACCCTGCTACATCCATAGGTTATAAACCTCAACCACTGGAGCTGGGATCTAAGGCTGGTTGGAGATTGATGGGGTTTAGGTTTGCCCAGGATTAAGGCAGATGGGATTATCCCCTTGCTGCACCTTAGCTGTGTGATTGAGCACACAGCGGGTTTGCAGTGACCCAGGTTCTTCTGGGTCAGTGGGATTCAAAGAGCATCAGTGCTCACCTGGTGACGTTCAGGTGCACGTGGACACAGTCCTTGGCAGAGACCCACAGGAAGTACGTCTGGCAGGGGTGAGAAGAGGAGTTGTTATTTCCAATACAGCAAGCAAGCAAACCACATTGTTCTGAAGCAGAGATCTCCCTGCCCAGCAGAGAGCAAGCTGGAACCTCTCTTGCTTGGGTCCACCTGCACCCAGCCCACTAACCCATAATCCTGGCCCTTTGGTGGATGCAGTCTGTTCTTTCTTTACTTCTCCTGCCCTGTCCCACTGCCATTGCACTTCCCATGGCCAGGCCCTGTTTCTGTCAAAATTGTCCCTATCTGACCTGTTCTCTGCTTGGCGTTGTCCCAGAGCAGATGGTCCTCTATGGAGGACTTCAAACTGCAAGGCAGTCCCTGCCCTGACTGTCCTCCTCCCTCTCTGCTCCTCATGGGAAAAGAGGCCCGGATGGATGCAGGCTGTGACAAGCATCCTGCCATAAGCCAGAATGTCACAGGATGGGAACAAGTTTAAACCCATGCCTTAAAGTGAGTTGCCACAGCTAGAAGCTATTGTGGGTGGATTACATGAGCTGGGTAAGGGCTGAGTGAAGCCACTTCCATTTGCAGGGGGAGTTGAACTATGTCCATGAGGTGAGAGCTCCAGCTTCCACTGGTGGCTCTGGCTCTTTACCCCTCCCTCAGACAGTGCACAACCGTCTTACCTGGACGACCACAAATATTGCTTGCACAATGGGGTAGATTATTTTGATTGCAGACAGGCAGCTGTAGAAGCTTGAGTAGTATCCTATTTTGAACACATCCATCACAAGGCTGAAAATGGCAAACAGGATCAGGCCTCCTGTTGAGGAACCAAAACATCTGTGACCGGATGCATGCTCATGAGGGCTAATGCAGATAGATGAGATGAAGAGGGACTATTGCCATGGAGAGGCTTTGCTTCTACTTGTTTTTCCTCTCCCGGTACCCAAATTATCTTGGCACTGACAGACTCATTTTGCCTGGAAGGGATTTTCAGTCTGGCTGGGACTGACAGCTCTTGTAAAAGCAATGGTAAGGCTGGAAGGAACCTGGTGTAAAGGACCCAGAGCTATTGCAGATAATGGGAGGCCTGGTAATAAAACCAGTGGCAGGACTGAGCTCACCTTCTGAAGCAGGGCATGGTGCCCCAGCGCCGGAGGAGGATGTGCCCCAGATGGATGCTGTAATAACTGATACCCCCATGAACTCTCCACCCTGCACCTCGACCCATCCCACCCCCCGAGAGCTCCTACCTCTCAGCCAGATAGGCCCAGCATGGGAGTCCTTGCAGAGGATGGCGTCTGGGCACCGGGAGGTGCCAAAGAGGTAGAAGATGATCCATACAATGACTACGAGCATCATGACAGTCAGCAGGAAGAAGACATCGTAGTCATGCACAGCGATCTTCTCGAAAGCCCCGCTGCTCACCAGCGTGCAGGCCAGCAACGCCAAGTGCACCGCGAGCAGGATGGAGAACATGCGGCCGCCCTTCTTCCACACTTCCTTGGAGGCAGGAGTGGAGGGAGGCTGATGGGGCTGGCGGCTGAAAGAGGCTCTCTGGCTGGAGGCCAGGCTGGCTTTGTCATCCTTGTGTCCGCAGCCCATGCTGGAGGTGGAGTGTCCGATCTCACTGCTCTTCCGCATGGGCTCTTCGGTCATGGTTCAGCCAATGCTTTAGCTGAGGGTTAGTGCTGTTGGGAGGAGAGTCCCATGAGTGAAAGGAGTCACTTCATTTTGAATAGGGCTGGACCAAAGCAGGATGTGATGAGGAGCAGAGGACGTACCAAAGGAATGGGGAAGGCTGAGACAGGGAGTGCAAAAAGAGGGATGAGCTCATTTCCAACCTTTCTCTTCCTGGTTCCCTGAAGGCTGTGCTCTTGCTCAAGATGCTTTTGGCTGGGGAGGTCCCAGCTCAGTTTAACAAGGCTGCCTAATTCACCACACAACGTTTAGGTGGGTATTGAAAAAGCAGTAAAAAGGCACTCAGGGGATCAAATATCCTGGGGCAGGTGGCCAAGGTGGCTTGATTTCTTAATGTCAACCACTAAACACTGAGAAATGTTGTACTTCCTGGCTGGGAACACACCACTGTAAGGTAAGAAAGCCCTGGGAATCTTTGGAACATCACGTCATGGCTTACACCAGTTCCAGCAAGAAGGGTGTGAGCTATCTCTGCTATCGCTCCCTCTCAACCCCCTTGCCCATGCCAAGCTTGGGACTTCATTGATTCCCCACGCAAAGCCTGAAACAAAGCGAGTTAAGCACTCCAAGCCATTCACTGACCTGGTTTGCTGCCTGGAATCCCAATCTCTGCTCTTTGCACAGGCTGAGAAGCTTTCCTGTCGCTGCAGCTTGGTCAGCCGAAGACTTTATACCCGTTGGGATGTCTCTGTGATTTATACCATGTCTGGAGCCGACTGCAGTTCTTCACGGGCTTCTCAGCGGAACTCATGTGATCCATTTTGTGCAATAGCTGATTTTGGGGAAGCAGGGGAGAGATGAGGAGATAAGGGTTGTTATTTACCTGGGGAGGGCACGAGGTGACAACACTGCTGAGCATGGCATGGACCGCTCGGACGCAGGGTCACGGTCACCAGCGAGCAAAGCCACCCCATCAAACCACTCTCCCTGCACTTATGGGTTCTCTCCCCGGGCGAGAAGATGGTTTAGGTTGAAGAACTTATCTTTGCTGATGGTTTGGAGCTTGGCTTTCTGCTTGGCTGAGCACAATAAATATTGCGCCTCACCCTGTGCTATTCAAATCAGCACCCGCTACAGCTGCAGTGGTTTTGAGAAGGAAGAAATTTGCATTGGTATCAATTCGGTGCCAAGGGAAGCTCAGTATTTTCTCACCAACAATGAGGAAGATTTATCCTTAGAGCAGGGCAGGATTTAGGGGCTGGAATCCGTGTCCCTTTGCTGACGCATTGCCTTTGACTTCTCAGGGTGGGTTCACCTTTCTCTTGCCCGCAGGAGCTTAACTTGTGTCCTTTCGGGAAGAAAGAAGTCATGGCACGAACCACAGGGCAGATGGGATTCTGTGATTTGCCAGGTGAGGGGGGAGCTTTCTCTTAGCTGTTATATGTTGGTGGGGGAGATAAAGGACCCCGGGCTGATCTGACTGAATGCGGACAAGTCATATTCCTTCATGAGGACACCTCTCTTGGAGATGTCCCTGCAGCTCGTCTCTGGGGCAAGCACAGCCTGGGGCTGTTTGCTGTGCATTTTCAGTCCCATTCCTGCCTGCTCATTCCTCTGTGCTCCTTCTTGGAGCCCTATAGGGACAGCATCAAACTGAGCTGCGTGGGATGGTGCAGGAGAGAGCTCACATCTCCCGGACAGCCCAGGGAGAGCTTCGTGTCTCTTTCCCGTGCTGCCACCAACCGGCTGTCACAAAGCAGTGCTGGGTCTGCCCTGCCTGGCCTCTGCTGAGCCTTTGGGCTCCTCTTTGGGGTGAGTGGTTGGTCTCAGTCTGTAGCCATTCCCAGGGGAACCCAGACCCCTTTACAGTGACTCTGAGCTGACAGTGGTGATGCTCTGCGCAGGTGATGATCAGAGTCCCCCCAGAGCGACACGCAGTGATTTATCCTCTCTCTTTTGTCTTTAACAGCCAACAACAGAGGAAAGAGCATTTACAGCCTTGGGCAATGCTCCTGGTCCTTCCTGGGAGCCACCAGACAGTGTAACAGGCTTAATTAGTAACAATACAAGAATCATTCAATCACCTTGTAATGAACTGCAGACATTACTGCGCTGCTTTTCACCCGGAAGGATCCCAGCCACAAATACCTCCATGTCTACTACATCGCACCAGGACCTACTCAATGAGGCTGAACGGGTGAGCATGAACCTGCTGATGTGAGCAGCCCCCGTGGGGTGGGTTTTTTGCTTACAAAATAAGCTGCTTTCCTCTCTATCTTCCCTCCTCTCTGCTCGTTACCTTCCAGTCCTCTCTGCTGCTCTCTTTCAGTCTTTCCCCCCTTTTCCACGCTTCCCTGCTTTCTCATCCTTGGACTTCCTTCATCCTCTCCAAACTCCCTGTGCGTCCCAGGGCCACACGTGGTCCAGCTCTGAAACTCTCCATCCCCAGAGCCAGGACCAGGATGTGGCAGGCAAAACACACCGGACAGGAGCAGGAAATTCCTCCTCCGTGACAGCGTGTCCCAGGGGATGCGCTTCAGTGTTGGGCACAACGCGTTGCGACAGCTCCGTGCTTGGGTCAACATCCAGGCTTGGCTCCGTCTCTCCTGACGGCAGAGGGTGCCCGGGGCTCAGGAATCCTGCGCTGGAGGCATTGCCTGCGGCTGTCGGGCTCACCACAGCCGGGAATCCCGTGTCAGCATTAAGAGACACGGAAGGGGACGTTGTGCACATTGCGGGAGGGCTGAGCCACAGGCAGGAGTGGGTTTGGTTTGGGCAGGTTTTATGGTTCCAAAGAGGGAGAGGGGATGAGGAAGGGAATTTTTCCAGCTTGTGTGAGTTACTTCAGGTTATCAGGGACAGAAATATATATATATTTCCCTAGTAATACATATACATATATAAAATATGTGTTAGTATACAATACATATATTATTTTTCTATAATTATAATAATATCTAATAATTCCCCATATATATAGGGAAATATATGTATAGATATGTATCTGTCTATGTATCTGTCTATCTGCCTATACCAGGAAAACAACCCTGGCATTGCTTTGAAATCAGGGCAGTCACCAAACTCCTCTTGACCATCTCTGCATGGAGCAGGAGCATCCATCCAGGTCCCAGCTCCTGCCCTTCTCTGCTGGGGCTGCAAGTGGGGGCAGCGGGGGTTTTATGCTCCATCAGCCCTCACTTCATCCCATGGGGGGGGGGCAGCTGCCCCTATGGTAGCTATGGCAAGGGGCGTGCTGGGGTACCAGGCAGGTACCTGGCAGCCTGCTCTGTGCAGGGGACACACAGACCTGTGGAGCTGTCACTGCGCCCACAGCGCTGCTGAGTCCAACGCAGTGATGCTGCTTAATTGGAAGCCGTAATGTGCCGTGTTGCTGGTGCGTGAAAGGGTTGTGGCGAGGAGCCGTGAGGGCTGGAGGATGCTTAGGACCCAGGGAAGCTCTGGAGCGCCTGCTTGGCTGTGCTTGGAGCGGCCGGGACTTCTCAGGTGTCCTGGTACAGCGGCGCTGTGCGAGGCGAGCCCTCCCCTTCCCCGCGTCCATGCCCATCCTCTGAGCACCCCCTGGGCACCCATGCCCCCCCCCGGGGACCACTGCCCACCATGAATGACCAGTACCACCGAGCAGCCCGGGACGGCTACCTGGACCTCCTGAAGGAAGCCACCAAGAAGGATCTGAACTCTCCGGATGAGGATGGCATGACCCCGACCCTATGGGCTGCCTACCACGGCAACCTGGATGCCCTGCGCCTCATCGTCAGCAGAGGGTGAGCACTGGTGAATGCACGGGGCTGGTCCTGGGGACAGAGTAGCTGGGACCCCATCTTTCCCCCTTCCCCACTTATAGGTCAGCGTGGATGCAGGTGCCCCACAAAATGATGGCTTCTGTCCATAGCATGCCTTCCACCCCCCGGTTGTTTTTCTGTCCTTGTGGTGCTTTGAGTCCAATCCAATGCTCCTGATAACCATTGTGTGCTTTCCCAGCTCCTCTGACCCTGTAACTGCTTCAAACCCTGCTTTCAGCTCCCCAGGGACTGGGTCCCCCCTCCAAGTGCTTTGCACTCCTGAGTCAGGTCCTGTAAAGACACCCAGCGCAAACACATCGGGTCACTGCTATGGAAAAATCCCTTTTAATTGAGGGGGCAGAGAGAATAACTGCTCCTTCTGTCCCAGTAAATGCTCACATAGAGACGTATGCAGTGCCATGTCTGTTTGACCCAAAGCAGGCTCTCAGAATGTGACCCCTGGGCAGCCTGTAACGCACCCAGAGCCCAGGAATCTCAGGAGCAGGTCCTCAGAAGCAGATTCAAGTGCAGCCTCCCTCCCTGGGGCTGCTCGATGCTCATCTGTCTCAGTACCTCACCCTGAGATACCAAACCTCAGGGTCTCTGGCTCTGTACGCATGGGTGTAGAGGGATAGGAGTGAGACCGGGGGGGCTTGTCAGACTGGAGGCTTCATATCTTGGTGTTGGAGGAACTCAAGGCAAGCTCTGCCATGCTTAGTCCCCTCTGGAGCAGTACATGGCATTCCTGTTACCAGCCCCCCAAGGGAGATGTGCCAGTGCTTCCTTCTGCTCCAGGAGCTTTTCTGAGCACCTCATGTAAAGGCATCCAAAGCGGGGTGACCTCTGCCTTGTGTTGAGAGATCGGTGCCAGTGCTGATTTTGGTTTAGTTCATTCTAACAGTAAGTGCTAGTGCTGAGGTGGGCAGCCTGGGTACTCAGCATCCCTCCTTGGAAGGGCTTTGCTTCTCCAGGTAGGGTCAGGGCTTGGTGGGGCCATCAGCTCCCAAGCAGGGATTTTCCATGTCCACCCTGGGCTGTGTTTTATCCCTTGTACCCGATCACTGTGCCTGTTCCTGGGCTCTCAGCATCTCCTGATGCTCTGGTCTGATTGTGAGAAGTCCTTGAGTGCCTGATGCAATGGGAGTGTGACCAGGGAAAGAGGATTTTGGAGTCCGGAGGGGATAAGGCATCACTCTGAGAGGTGCATCCTGAGATGCTCCTGGGCTGAGAGCCCTGTGATGCTTCCCTGGATGCGGGACTTACTGTGTGCCTCCCAAAGAGACTGTGCCCAGCATAAACCTGCCCTGAGCTCTGCCCACAGGGGAATCACCACCCAGAGCCAGAGAGACAGGGGCAGGAGCTCTGGGGATGAGACCCTGAAGTCAGAAATGATTCCAAAGACTCATTGATGGCCAAAAGATCAGTCAGAATGGCCCATGACATGGATGAACACCGCTCCAGAAAGGCTTTGTCTTGGCCACATCACAGGCCTTTCAGACTGGCTTTATATCTCCTTATATCTTTATATGTCATTATACTGCCCACCTCCATCACAGGACGCCCTGCAGCCTGCCCTGCCTACCCACACATCCGAGCCAGCAGTTTCTGCCTTTCCACGAAGCCTTTCCCATGGAGGGGCCCCATTTATAAATTCACATTGCATTAGAAGGTCCCTGTGGGCTCAATCGTGTCCGAGTGCAGCTCGGCTGCTGTTTAATTAACAACCTGATATACATTCGTTCCTGACAGGGAAAATAGCCTGGCAAAAGCCCAGTGCCCTTTCCGTGATGGATGGTGGAACAAAATGTGTCTGTGGGCTGCAGGGTGTGCTTACATCCCTGCATCCATCTCCGTGTGTCAGGTCCTTGCCCAGGACCACACATTGGTCAGCAAAGGCTCCTTGCCCTCCTGCTCAGCTCACTGCAGGCTCCTCTCTGCTCCCTGGAGCTGACTTTGGGTTTCTAAGAAGGGGAATCACGCAGGACTCAGGAGAGAGCCCATGGGCAGCCCCTGTGGTTTATTGTTAGTGTTTAGGATGATGTGCAATGGCCTTTGTCTTGTTCAGAGATGAAACTTAGTTCTGTATTGGGTCTGTTACCCAGGGCATTTCTCTCTGGCCTCGACTGTTCTTTGGCATGAAAAGCCCTGCACTGCGAGGCAGGACAATGCGGGACTGAGGCATGGAATGGTGCTGGGGTGAGCGGAGGCATTGGGGCTGGGTTGGCTCCATGCAGGGATGGGATGGGAGAAGGTTCAGGGTGCGAGGGGGGTGGTTTAACCTCTGGGTTGCAGGGGGATGCTGAGGCACAAGGCGTGATGGGGCAGCAAGAAACACCAAACCCTCCTTGCCAGCACTGGGCAGCGATACTG